AATTTATATCGGAGTTCCTCTTACTACAATTGCGTATAGGTGTCAGTAATGGCACTGCTTCGCAACCCCTACATATGGGATTGTGTTTGACCCCGTAATCCATGGTCAACGTCTATTTTAGACCACCGTACCAAAAACCAGTTCTCTAAAAAGTTGGTGGTAAATCGGAATTCCCCTCGGTGTTTCCTGCACTCAGACTGAAAGCATTTCCGGATAGGCCAAAATTCTATCTTACATAATTTCAACCATTTAACACAAATCGTTCCAATATAGTTTCCTTTGGAATTTCCATTATTATGAATTATTTATATTATAGGCTTAAGCTTAAGAATTTCTTTGATATCTTAGCCGTACACACTTTTAGATTTGTGCGAATGATAAATCGTGAAAGTCAACTAATGTAAACTTAGTTGTTTAGTAACAAATTCACTGCAAAAGTGAAATTTGTGCTGGGTGTTTGTAAATAGTCTACCGTATCAACTTTTTATCACGTGATTTATTCTTGCATTTAATCATTGCATCCGATTTTACGCGCCGTTTTTTCGTTTGAATGTACACTTTCATCCATCAGCTGATCGCGGATCCCTAGGGTTCTGTGTATTTATGATATATACTTACACGGATTAGCAAGGTTAGGCTTCTTCTCCGTGACATTCTAAACACTTCTTCTTACATTAAAAGTTTTTTAGCCCAGTATTAGTTTCCACTCGATCATGTTCTTCTAAGCGTCCGAACACTGTTGATTACTCTTTGCTTAAGGTATTTTCTGCAGAGATTGTGACTTGTGCATTAGTTTTCCTTACTCGCAAAAGTATTCTTTCCCGATAATGTCCCTCTGGGTGGCGATTTTACTTCAGGTCATTTTCAATACAATCGAGACTAATTTCCTTTATAAGGAATAGGTTTAAGTGAAATTCAAGCATGTGGCTTGGTTTTTTAGGGTATTATTGCTGTTCTATGTGTTTTAGACGAAAATGTACGTATTCCTGATGTCCCAGTGTAAGCTGATAGAAATCGACAACACAAACCTTCAGGACCGGTAGGTCGTCTAATTCTGTCGGATTCATTGCCTGCTTTTTGTGCCCAGATTTGGAAGTCTTACTGTATACCTGGCCAGACACTATAATATTCCGTTGGATCATCAAATTCTACTTACGAATGGAGGCTGTCAATTGAAGGAACTTCATGAAATTGACGACCACAGTGCTGGCGAGGTATGTTTTTTTCTTTTTTGCTTTTGCTCCTAATTACTCGCGCCCCCATTTTTATTCTATTTCTTCTTTGTAGAATCCAACAAATCCGATCTACGTCTTCTCTCGGGATAAGGCACTAACTCCTGATACGTGTGTGCTCAAAGGTTAGCTTCAATTTTCTCTTTAAACAACCATTTCTACCCCTTCGACATTTTATGGGAAGAATGACATTGTGGTAGGAATCGATTGGCGTCGTTTTCCTTTTTTAGCGTATATTTCTTGCATGTATAGGGGTTCGGGCTTCTACACTTCATTGGTACGCATTCACCATCCTTGAGCAGATTACTTGCATCCTTTTTTGTCGACATTGCTTGATCCGTAAAATTACACATTTCCTGGTTGTTTATCTGCATTTACTATTTTCACGGAAGGATTTGTTAATACGGTAGTGCTTTATTACGAGCAATATGTGGAGTTCCATTAACATGAATTGCGTTGGATAACTTATCTTTGCGCTAACGTTTTCAAAATGCATGCATCAATTATGCCTTACTGATGGGGACTACTGAACTTCTTGGCATCCATACTTGGAGAGTTTTAGTGGTTTCTTTGTTGCGGTTCTTTGGTGACGAGCAATTTCATTCACCAGCACTGTAATCTTGGGTCACATCGTTTGCACGAACAGGCGGAAAAGAAGCTTGTTATCACGATAGCACTTCTTGTCTTATGGTGGTAATGGTAAAGGCTCTGAATGAGTCCCAGTGACCTTTGCTACTGAATACGTGTTCAAAGGTTCCTGTGTGCCGACTCTGCCCTTAGGGTTTCGGCTACCCGTTCCCGTATGGTCTCAGATTAGCTGA